TTTAAAATTAAAGTTATTTATTTAAAATTATATAATAATATAATATCTAAAATTTGATTGGCTAAAACTGATGATGTTATTGATGATATAATTATAGCTAATTACAGCATATATATTGCAACTACTAACAAAAATTGTAACTATTAAAATTTTAATAAATAATTAAGTTATCATCTTTAATTATAATTAATTATAATTCTCTGATTAACTGTTACAAGTCATAATTAATTATGACAATATCTCTAGTCTTAACTTTATTAAAATATTAATATAAAGCTATATTAGTTAAGAAGATGATGATATATTATATTTAAGTTTTCTTATTTGTAATTTCTTGAATCTGAAATATAATTTTAACTTACATAATTCAGACAAGTATATTTTTATTTGATTTTTCAAAATAAATTAGTATTTTAACTGAAAAATAAGATAAGAGCTTGAGATCAGAGAAATCATTTTTTTTGATTATTTTGATAAGTTTAGTTATATTCTGCATAAATTATTCAAATTATTTTGAATTTATTTTATAATATTTTTATTTCTAAAACTAAGATATGTATATAAGTATAAGTATATATATAATGTGTAAGATGTTAAAGAGTAATCTTTATAATAATTATATCTACTACTATTAAATTATAAAATTATTTTGTTAATAATTGTAAATAAGATAAAATGCAATATAAATAATTTTAATTTATAATTTATAATTTTTATTATATGAAGAATATTCAGATCTGAAATTATTTTACAAAACAGACAGAACTTATTTATAAGAAAAGAAATAAATATAAATAGTAAATAAATTAATAATAATTTCTATTTTAAAATATATAGTTTAACAAAATTAATTAACTTAATTTATATTTTCAAAGAATAACTAATTATAATTCAGTAATTAATAATATAATAAATAATAATATAAATAATAATAAATAAAAATAAGTAAAAATAATTAAAAAGAAATCTAATTAAAAATATTAATTATCTAAATTAATAATATTAGTACACAAAATAATTATCTATATGATAATGTATTAAATTTAATATATTAAATACATAAATAATCATCTGTATATTCAGAATAAAATTAATCTTTATAAAAATAATACAGAAAAATCTGTAATATGAATAATACAAATAAAGATCTGAACTAAAAAGAGATAATTCAATTAAAATTATTATAAAATATGAAAAAAAAATTTTGAATTTAAATTTAAATTAAATTTGAATTCAAAATTTAAATTTGATTCAAGTTTGATTTAAGATTAATTTTAAAGTATAATAATAAAAATTATAACTTTAAATAAGAGTAATAATTTTACTTATAAATATAAAAATAAATTTATTATTTAAAATTTTAACTTTAATTAGATAGATATAAAATATTTTTATTTAAATAGCAATATTTTATTATAATAAAATTCTAGCTTTAAATATAAATTATAATTTACTATAAGTATAAAATATATTTATTATTTAAAATTTTAACTTTACTTAAATAAAATTAAAATATTTTTATTTGAATAATTATAATTTATCATTATAAATACAATATATTTTTATATTTCTTTTCATATAATTTTTTCATCAAATAAGAATCTATCTTATATTCTTTTAAAAATATTATGTCAAATATATATAACTCTAAAATGAAGAATATTTCTATAAGTAATACTTGCATGCATGGAATATTTGATATTAATAGATTGATATCTACCTATTTTATCTTGGATTTGATAGTAATACTATTAAAATTATCCATTATTAATAGAATATTTTATTTATTTACATTTTGATATAAACTTCATATTTCTTCTATATGAATCTGATTTATTTCAAAAAAAGATTAATGTTAGCATTTGAACTTTACAATTGGAATTTAGTAAATAGAAAATAGGTCATGACGAAAAATGGTCGGATCATGTGACTCTGACCGGTTCGATATGTCTCTTGAAGTTAGCATTCCAATTATTACAGAATTCACAATAAAAGCGTGTTTTACAGGTTTTACATGAAATAACAGATTTTAACTCAGATTTCACATATGTATATTTAAGCTATATGTTTTTTTAATTGAATTTCAAAAATCAAATATCATTTTTTGTTCAGTAAAATAGTGAATTAAATAAATATATTTAGTGATCATTAGTAATTTAAATTTATAAAATGATCAATAGTAATATTGTTCAGCACAGTGACAATGTCATTCGCATTGGAAATTTCACGAGAAAAATCGAAAAATCAGGGAAGATTGAACACAAATAAATTTTCTTATTAGGATTATCAGCAACTAAGTTCGATAATTTATTATTTATTATGAACAGATAAATCCATTACAATGAATGTACAATAAAAATATTTTTTATTTATATTAAATTATTATAATTACATCAAAAATTATTAACTCAAACCAAACCAATTAGCAATGCGGTTCAAAACACTTTTTCGCTCATTAGGAGTCTCATTAATTTGCTCTGCTTCATTGGAAGTGTCTTCTGGGATAAAATCATCATCACGGAAAACACCATTCTCCTCCTCCTCTTCATAATCAATTTCAATCTCATCATTTTCCTCCTCTTCCTCCTCTTCTTCCTCGTCTGATTCCTCCGCCTCATCATCACCGTCTGTACCCTCATCTTCCTCTTCATCCTCCTCTTGCATCTCGATATCATGATCTGCTTCCTCACCATCTGAGTACATTTTTTCTTTTGTGAAGCAAATAATGCGCGGCGATTCAAAACTTTGATATCGCTCGATCTTTCCTAGAAAATCTCGACGATATGCGACTATTGCTCCAATGAGACCGTTGAAATCGGTGCCACCATTAACTTTGTATTCTTTTATGAGTTGTGCCACTTCATTACGATATGTTTGTCGAAGAAAAACGTCGGTGCCTTCAACATATGAAGCCATATCGGCTATAATTTTTTCTTCTAAAAAAATATTCAAATTAGTTGAAATCAAACATAAAAAAATCTTGTAAATAATCTAACAATTAAATGAATTAACACACCAGTCATTGTTATATCTCTGAAATGCTGCGATTGGCAATATTCATCATTACATACGCCTCCTGGGAATGTTTCAAATACGCAGAACGGTTTTTGATGCTCGATATTATGACTAAAAGTGAGAGATTTATAGCCGTCTGAGACCATTTCCAAATAATTTGGATGGAAACGATAAGATCGAAATTGTCTCAATGGTGATTCATAAGGCTTGAAGTGAGGATAATCAATCGTTTCTTGAGACTAGAATTGAAGAGAAAAAAATTCATTAATAATTTGAAATCTGCATACTTTAAAAAGATTTATTCGATGACTTACCTCATTTTTCTTTGGTGCGTTTTTTCCTTTGGCTACTACTTCCATTCGAGCTTTCTGTTGTGCTACCATCCGCCTATTCTCTTCCAGTAATTTATCAATTTCCTCTTTTTTCTTGACTAATTCAAGCACATCTTGGCTTTTATTATCAGATTTCGCCTTGACTTTTTTAACAGAACTTGCCTCTGCAGAGTTTGTTTTCCTTTTTCCATTCGCATTTAGATTATTATCTTTGCTTTCGCCAAGAGTCTTTCTTAGATTTTTCTTGACTTGATTTACATGTTGAGTCAATTTTTCTCTAGTTTCTTTTATATTTTTTTTAAGATAGGTGAGTTTTTCGGAAATCTCTGAAGCTCTCGATTCGTGAACAGTGGCAGAGGCAGTAAGTTCATTTTTAGTCGTCTCTTCAATTAAGACTTGAGCTTGAAGTTCCTTAATCTTACTCTCATTTGTAGTTATTATTGACTCCTGTTCTTTAATCTGTTTCTGTATCTCACAGAGTTTACTTTGATTTGACACACTTTCTTTTTCCATTTCATCTAAAGCTTTTGTTGCTGCATCCAAGTCAGCTTTGAGTTTCAGGGCAGTATTATCGGAAGCTAAAATTAAGTTTTCAATAATCGTGGAAGAATTGGCTATAGCTGATGATGACGATGATGATATCGGTGATCCTTCATTGACTAAATTCTTATGTGTATGTGTTTTGGAAATGTTTTTGACTTTGATCGGATTATTAGATTCACTTACGAAGAAAGTAGAGGTATTATGACTCACAGGTGCTGGTGACTGATTAGCGGGTGTTATTATGGAAGCTTTTTGTTTAGATCCAGAAGCTGGTAATTTTGATATAATTTTAAACGAATGAATAGAAGAGGAAGTGTTTCGGAAAGGTGCAGAGGATGATATTGATATAGGATGATTCTCAGAAGTGGTTACTATCGAAGCTCTTTTGACTGAAGAATGTGTTGATGATTGATTCTCAGGAATTGTCAAAGGAAGAGTTTTCTGAATAGCGGCAGCAGATGATGTTGCGATAATCGGGTTATTTATAGGAGTGCTGTGAATAGATGTAGGCGATGATGCTGTTGAAATTGATTGTTTTTCAGATGTTATTGCGGGAACTTTTTGGATAGAATCAGATGATGATGATGTTGAGACATTTCGATCTGAAATTGCTGTGGGGGTTTTTTGAACAGACGCGGGAGATGTTGAAAAATCATGATTCCCCAGAGAAACTTTTTGGAAAATGGCAGGAGACGATGATGTTCCAATAGATTGAGTAGGGGTTGTTTCAGGCTCTTTTTGAATAGAAGCAGAGGATGGTGTAGCAGGGATAGCTTGGTTCTGAGAAACCTGTGAGTAGTCATTTTGAATAATGTAGAAAATAATGAAGTTAGTGTGATTCGATCTTCAGGAATGATTGAACCTACATTATGAATCGAAGGAGAAATTGATGATGCTGAGTTATACTCTCGAACCTTAGAGATCAACGATAAAGTGTTTGAGACAGGAGAGATTGACGAAATTGAAAAAGGTTGATTTTCGGAATTCGATAAAGGATCTTTTTGTATAATGGGGGTATAAATTGAAGAAGTTGAAATAGTTTGATTATTAAGATTATTGTCGCTATTATTAGAAGTCGCGGTGGAACTGTTTTCAATAGACACCACAGCAGCAGTCGAAGAATTAGACTGAGTAACGGAGGAAACCGTCGGGGCAGAGGCCGTTGCAGAATTCTCTTTAGCTTTTCTGAGTTTCTCTTTTAAGATAATCATTTGTTGTAACTCTTTGATTTCGCGCTCTTTTTTCTCTAGCTGAGTTTTCGCTTCAAGTTTTTCAATACTTGCTTTGACAGAGGACTCCTTTATGTTCAATGAATTTTTAATTACTCCGGACTGTTTTTTGGAGCGTTGCTCGTTATCGGATTCATCACTCAAGTTTATGATGTAACTAGTCCGTCTATTTGGTGCGAATTTTTTTTGATATGCTTCATTCTGTCGTATTGAGAGAGGAACAATAGTATTATTGTTTTTAATAAAAGTAGCAGCAGTTGTCGCAGGTGTTGTCTCTATGGCTGTAGAAACTGCAGCTTTAGCATTCTTTGAATTAATAGGTGCAACTTTTTTGTTAATCGGAGGGATTGATAAAAGTGTGATTGACTCTTTATTTGTGGTTAATGAGTGCGACGACAACGATGCAACATTTGAAGAATTGTTATTTTTAGTTATTGGGATAGAATCTTTCTGAACAAGATTTTTATTGTTGTTCGTTGAACTGCCTGAATTATTGAAATTTAGGGATTCACCTTTCAAATTTATTAATGCTGTCGGCGCTTGTGGTAGGGAACCGTTAGACGATTTCTCTATTGCAGAGTTGGAAATATTTGTTTCTTTAATACGGGAATCAATGGGGTGTTTATTAGTAGTATGCGGCGGTTGTTGGATTAATGAATTCGTATCTCTCGATGATGATGACACTGGTGGTAGAAATTGAGTTGCTATTGATGCTTCAATGCCAGCAGACTTTAGTGTTGTAGAATTAGTAGGTAGAAATTTGATTGGTTTATCGCTTTTCGGTGTTATTGGGACAAATTGCTCCAAGTTGTCGTGTGAATCCTCGAAAAATCTTGCTGTTTGTTGTTGTGCACCCGCCGCCGTTATTGTTGAATTTTGATAATTATTTACAGTAGGTGCTACCTCTCGCTCTGACAATACCATATTCTTGTGAGTCCCTAACGACACGTTTGACATGAATTGAGGTTGAGAATTTCTCCTCGACTTTATTTCCAATCGTTCAGGGTAGACATTTTGTAATAATGTATTATTAGTGGAACCACCCCCGTTGTTAATTGGAGCATTGTGAAAGTATTGTCCATAATTATTTATGCCATTTTCGTCTTTCAATCGAGATGATGGCCCATAAGGGTCCAAGTCTATCATATTATGCTGCTGCTGTGATACTGAAGCCTTGATATTTGCAATACGAGACAGTGGATCACCTGATGACATATACGGCGGTAAATTATAATTTGCAGTTGATGATGATAATATCGTCGGAGATATTAACGGAGGAACTTGCTGGTAATGTGATAAAAATAATGACGAAAGGCCGTTGTTGTGAGTATGACTGTGATTAGTGTGTATACTATATACATCCATTCCTCCTATTGCAATGTTATTGGTGTTTGGAGGTTCCATCATCGGCATCATCATTCCACCCATTCCACCTATCCCGCTTGCACCTCTTGATCTTGAATTTTCAAACCGTTGCGAATAAGCCATGGACTCTAAATAAGGAGGAATAGGCATCTTTAGTTCCTGTGAAAATCTTAGTATAATGTCTAGTGGTATCCCTTCCCGAAGCATATCTTCAGCTGTACCACCCGCAGCGTATATTTGAGAGACTATACTTCTGGTTAGATCGTCTAGCGAGCCTCGATAATCAATATAATCTGTATGTTTTTTTAATGAGCAAAATATGCATTAATGTCTTTATCGATAAATACACACAATTAATTAGCAATTTATAATTTAACGACTGCTCAGCTTCAATCATCTCACACTACAATTTTGAATAAATTTCCCAGTAAATTCGTGCAAGAAATTATCAGATGCATACTGACCAAACGAATTCAAGTCGCTATTACCTAGATGTCGATCATTAAAAAAATTCAAAACACCATTATTATTCTGCGACTCAATCTTTTCCTGACCAAACCGAGTTCGAAACTCTTCTGTTGACGATTCTGTTTCTGATAACTCGCCCTCTTCGCGTTCTGAGCAAGTGTCATCTTGAGACGACGTCAACGACATATCTTGTATGATCTTTTCTTTTTCTATTTCTTTTTCTTGTGATGGTAGGTTGCTATCATTATCAGTTTTCGGAATTTGCTCAACTTCATTCTCAATATTATTTCCTTCATTTTTTCCCTCTCTCTTTTTCTCCTGTTCTTTCTCCTCCTCCTCTATTTCTTCTTTCCCTTGTTTTTGTTCTTCCTCTATTTCTTTCTCTTTCTCTTGTTCTTGCTCTTGCTCTTGCTCTTGCTCTTGCTCTTTCTCTCTTTCTTTATCTTTATTGTCAATATCAATATCAATGTTATTGGTAGTATTGGCATTGGAAAAGTCATTTGTATTGGTAGTTACAGTCGCAGTATTATTTAATTCTTTCTCTTTACCCTTCCTAGATTTCAAAGTTTGTAGAGCTGCTAGGCGTAGAGCCTGCAGGTCTGGCATTCCGGAAGGTGGCTGTGGTTGTTTAACTTCATTTTGTTCCATCGATTTGTGAGATTTAGGACAAAATTATAAATTTTCGTAAGGAAGATAGCAAGACCTAGTACCAGCAACGACGTGTTAAAAACTAATTTTGGTCATAGTACGAACTTAATCAGAAATGTGTTAGCTAACTAATTACGTATTACATCAAAAAAAATTTCACCTAAATTTGATGCGAGTATGGCGTCTTCGAATTTTTTAGCCAGGACGCGCGTGGAAACACTCCTATGTAAAAAGATATTATTACATAAAAAAGTTAATGTCTCTTTTTACCTTACATCGCTAAGTATAAACTTGCAAAAAAGAAGTTACGTTTCGGTGACTTTGCCTATCCACCTTGCTGCTGCGAAAGGCACGACGGGCAATAAACCAGGTGTCAAAGTTGGCGGAAGAGGTATAAAATGTTTGAAAAACACAGATTATATAAAAGAAAACTGGTAGTTACTTACAATTATTTCGACCCTTTCCCGATAACTGTATAGCGGCACCGTCGAAAAAGAAAAGCGGGTTTAAACAAACTAAAAAAGTTGCTGTTCAGGTTCGGTAATGTTGTGCTGAATAAAAATTATACGCTTTATTTATTATTGTAAGTAAATAGAATCGCTTGTTCTAGGTCAAAAAATCAAATGTGGGGCCTGGATTCGCTAAAGTCAATGAAAAGTTTTATCAGCCTCCGCCGGTTGTTGACTTAGATGAAATGTATCCGGTATTTTTTCAAATTTAAAATATTTGAATTTATCTCAAAATTTTTTGATTATATCGAAATTTGAGCAAATAGGAAGCCTTTCTCTATGACAACGTGGGAAAAGTGTATGCGATAACTGATACAGTATTATCAAAAATAAAAACCTTTAGATTGCCACCAGCATTAAACCATGAGGTTTGTGTTATCTTTACAAAGCTTTTTCTTTTGGTGTAAACATTTTATTATTAACAACATCATTTTTTTAGCTTGAATTTTTCCCTCGTCCATCTCTTGTAATTAGAGAGAGTTCAGTTAAATTGATCGATCTTTTGGAAGCATCATCAGATTTACCGAGTTTACGGAATAGAATTATCTTATGCGAGTCTTGTAATATAATTTTTATTTATTATTTGATGTTCAATTATATTAACAAGGGGTTAATTTTATGATAGCTGGCGAATTGGGAACTGGCAAGAGTACATTACTTTTACAGTCAGTCTGTTATGCGTTGTCTTCTAACTGGATTGTAATTTATATTTCTCACGGTAAGAGTTTTTTCTGGTAAATTTTATTTTACATAATCACCAGGGTTACACATGATGATTATTTTATTTTTAGCCATTAGTTACGTGAATAGTAGTAGCGCGTATCAAAAAGTTGAAGCAACCGGAGAATTTGTTCAGCCAGCACTTGCACAAAAACTATTGCAACAAATTAACATTGTAAATAGATCAATTTTTCAAAATGTAGGTAGTAAGTAATAATTATTTATATCATTTCGCATTATTGACACTCTTGAAGAATATTTTATGCGGGGTTTGATTGCCAGATAAAATTGAAGCAAAGCCATGAAATTCAGCGAAATATTTTGAAAAAAGATTCACCGATCACGCAATTAATTGAACTTGGAATTAGAGAAGAAAGTGTTGCTTTCGACGTTCTAACTAAATTCTTTGCAGAAATTGAACAGAATGACACGTAAACTTTATGATTTTTTTTTAATTTGCTTTTTTTTTTGAATTCCGGTTTTAATATACTTACTTTATTATTATAGCTATTCAGTGCTACTTGCGGTTGATGAAATAAATGCTTTCTACACTCGAACAAAATATCGTAATGTTGATTTTACTTTTCTTGATGCAGATCGATTTTCTCTAATTAAAATACTTTTGGAATTCTTTGGTGGTCAACGACATTTTGTATGGTTTTCTTTTAATTATTATTATATGTGATATATATATGATGAAACATATTGATAAATTGTATACGACTAACAAATTATAACGCAGAAACGTGGTGCTATCATCGGAGCAATCTCGAATGTGTTTCCACCAATTCAGAGTAAAATTTTAGATTTCTCTTTGCGTCTAGATGAACCATCGCCTTGGATTCCATATTCTCAGAGTCTTATATCGTATACTAAAGGATTACAGCGATTTGACGTGACAGGGTATTCTAAAGATGAAGCAAAAGCAGTTTTTGATTTTTATTCGAAGTCTTCGCTATTTTATCAAGGTAAATAAATAAATAAGAAAAATACGTTACTCTTTCTGGGATGTTTGCAATCGGAACTTAATTTACCATTAATATATGTTTAGAACCTACAGATCAATGTTTTGCTAAAAAGTATATTACAAGTGATGGAAATGCACGAAAATTTTATTTGGATTGTATATCAGCCTTTCTATGAAAGTTGAAAGATAATTATATTTAATGTGAACGGAAATTTTTGATAAAGATACTAACTAATTACTCATAATTTCCGCCTTGATATACATTGTTTTGCATTTAATCATGAATTGATAGGGGAAACCCCAAAACTTGGCTGATTCCTCTCCCAGGGAGGGTGTTGTCAGACAATCATTATACGATTTGATCATTTACTTTATCATGTGGCGTGGGCAACCGGACTGGACCGGTTTTGAACGTTAATACAGTGCGCAACACTGGTTCCGCTGCATACATGATTTGTAGTTCTCCCTCCCCTTAGTCTTTGTATTTGTCAGCAATAGAAAGTAAAATGATATCGTCCTATCCGATTTGTCTAGCTGAACTTTATTATGTAACTAAAAAATAAATTTGCCATGCACCAAAAATATTTTGTTCTAATCGTAGTATACAAATTACATCGACTCTATAAATTAAGATAATAAAATAAATTAAATTACTGCTTATGATTATTATAAAAACTAGTATTTGTTTTGTCATCTCTTATTCATTTTTATCTACCGCCTCCACTAATAATGGTTGAGAATCGAAATACATAGTTCGTGTAAGGATATCCTCGCAATGATATAGAAATTGAAAATCTCCACGTGAAAAGAAGCACACTGGAAGTGTATATGTTGTCGAGGATTTCGCGTCAATCTTTAGCATAGCAAATATTCGTGTTAATTATAAAACGTATTAATAAATATATGATACATAACTTTACTTACATTTGGCAATGGAGTTTGTAGTAATCCATTCCACACTACGCGTCCCGACAAATCGTATTCCATTAAACCATCACTATAACTCAGCACTGGTTGAATTCTGATACAAAGTTTTGCTGGTTTTTCTAAAGAGAAAATACATAAAGATTTACAATTTTAAATATATCCTGATTATCGTACAACAAATCCCGAATACATTACTAACCTTGTCTATTAAACACAACAAATCGAATATGAACAAACTCATTGACCGGACATCTGAATCGATTAAGTGATAGCTTTGTTATATGAGGAGCTTCTTGTATTTCAACAAAGAAGGAGATGTCATTGATTCGTAAAATATTCAACATAGACTTATTGAGACGGAGTGAACGTATATCGATCGTTCCTTTTTGATGACCGGTTGGCTAAAAATAAATAGATTTTGACGAGTTTAATTTTTACGTTCTGTCAAATAAGGACCAACTAAAAAAAAAAAAACGAATAATACGTACACATTCCCAAGTTGCAGTGAGTTTTTTCAATAAAAATTCGCGATACCAAAATAGCGATAAAATTAATCTTTCTTGTTCTTTGGTCCCTTTCGGCTCTTTTGAAACCACAAATTGCTTGTCAAATAATGACGGAATAGGCTTCATGATTTCATTTTCAGTCAAGGAAATTCGTTTGATGGGCAAAATAATTCTGTAATTCGCGAAAAACTTAGTTAACAAAAAGGAAATAAGTTATGTGAATCATGTATCTTTAATAATCTTACCGCGTTGTCGCTGAAGGTTGTATACATGTTGATATATTTACTTGATTTGGCGAGTCAACTTGATTAAAGCGAAACCATTTATCACAATTATTATGTGGCAAAAAAAATTTTAGATTTTATGAAATAAAAAACCAAACCTTCTTCAACAGAAAAGGTAACATTAAATGGTATATGCCAAACATTTCGAATATCAAAGGTAAGTAAACAATATTCATTATCGAGCTCTGATTCGGATTTTTCATTAAATCGTGTAATTTTTAATAATTCCTCGACTTGTTTTCGAGTTGATTTATCAATATGACCGTTATGATTGTTTATTATTGATGATCCATTATCGGCGATTGGTTTGAAGTTTAAGATATCCATCGTTAAGGGCTCAAGATGTTGATGGACTGTAAGGAGAACTGGATAGAATACTTGCCGCGTAAAGAAAATAGCCTCAGAAACAGAGTCAGGTCGATCAATATATCCATAATCGATTTGTATGGTACCATATGTGCTTATTAATATCATTAACAAAAAGGTAACAAATCGGTCAATCGCATAATTTTCGAAGGAAATTATTCTTGCATTTTATATGTATAGATACTTACCATCCACGCTTACCAAAGACACTTATATTTAATATCAGCTCATTGTTGGGCAATAAATTCACTTTACGTTCCGTCGGTTCCCAATAAAATACAGGTTGTTGATATGCATATAGCTCCATTTCGTATGCCTCTTCTGCGGGTAAATCAGTCGAACTTAGAATGTTTTGCGCATTTTCAATGGTAGAATCATGAAATGACAGATTTATAAAGTTAACTGGGGTTTTGCCAATATTTTCCAATTTAATTGTCATTTCTGTTCTTTTAATCATTGTTATAGCATATAGCAAGTGAGTTAGCATTCCCATTAGTAACTAAATTACTAAAAGATTGATTATCAGAATAAAAGATTAGAGCATTCCATACTTTTCTCCTTCAAAAAGCATTATTGCACTATGCATTAATGATGTAGACTTTATTTTTATTAATGGCTGATCTGGAATTGTTTCCACTTTTAGGAAATCCAAATCGTGCTCTTCCTGTGTGGGTGTTGTTAATGCCGTGGATGTTGTAGTGGTGGTTGAGGCAGTGCTACCTTGTGAATCTACTAGAATAAAAAAAATTGTTTTTAATAATGTTTAATAAATTTTCAATAAACTGAAATAACGCATACCTCGTCGATGGTGATCAATTACGGCCAATCCACTAAAAAGAATATTTTAATTTAATTTAAATATTTACTTTTTTTACATTAAAGGGGTTGAATAACACAGATTATACACGTTTCTTACCTTTTTTTTATTCTTTTGTTATGTTCCTCTTCGTTTTCTTTTTTTGTTATTTCATCTTCTTTTGGAGGCAAATGTACACAAAATTCTTGTTCAGAGCATCCATAAACCTTAATCTTACATCCTCGAATTACCAATTCTCCAGCTTCTTTCGGAATTCCTGATAATCGAAGCGTTACGGATGTATTCGCGGGTATAGTAGTGGACATGACATTGGGCTTAAAATTTATGCCATTCGTGCTTTATGTATCATTCATTGTAAGTTTTCTTAATCAAAACTTTATAAAATTACGGGAACATAATTATTAATATTACCTTATAGAAATGCTTTGTATTTCTAAATCAACAGCGAAAGGATTTGCAAGGGTAACCATAAAATAAGCAGTTTCGTTGGCAACAAGATGAGTCTGCAAAAAAGGTCAATATGGAAAGCCTGATGTATATTAATAGCAAAAAAATGTATATGAAAATAGCGAGAAGATGTCTGAGAAAACAAGCAATTTGCTTTTACCTGGACTGTCTGAGGCATTTTTTTTCCCCTCGGATTATATATAAATATTGTATCGCTCGCCTCTGTTGGTTCCTCGCCCATGGAAAATATTTTCGTAGAATGTGGATAGGGAATTTTGCGAGAGGTTGGTCTACATGATCAACATTGTATTTGAAAATGTATTTTGTTATTTTCTTTTTTTAATTATTACAAAAAGATCACATGCAACCCGTTAGAAACATACCGACATACTTCTATCCCTCGAACAACATTCATACCCCAATACTTAATATCCATTTCCAATCCTTGTTTTTTCGCTGAAGAGATAATTCGAGGCAATGAAATTGTTAGACGATGTTGCTCTTCTTTTGGTAAATGTAAAAATAGTTTACGCAAAAGCCTAGTTGTATATTTAATAGAAGAAGGCAAATCTAATGAAATATCGTTGTAGTCGATTAATAAACAGAGAAAAATTCAAGAATCAAATGAATCAAATTCAGAAAAACTAATATAAACCTGGTATTGCCTCAGATAATGATATCGCGTCTTTTAGAACATCTATTTGTATGTCAGGCCATCCAAAATTTAGTAATGGTTCATCTTCATGTACATGTGATACGTCTGATTTTTCTTCTTTGACATTATCTATTACAATTATGAAGCAAGTAGATTTTAATGAAAATATCATGTCACAAATCCAAAAAAAAAATTATTTAAAATAAGCATCATTTTATACCACCGACACCATATATCTCTGTAAATTTTGCGATACAAGCCAATATACCAGCATCTCCTCCTTCAAGCGATAGATTTGTTTGAGACGACGAATTTTGAGGTTTGGCAAGAAGAGGCAAAATCAATAAAGCAGTTTGACGCAGGAAGAATGCATGCTTTCGACGAAAATTGATTACTGAAAAAATAGATGCCATTGTAGTTGTAATATATATCTAATAATACATCAGAAAAATGAATATTGTATATCATATTAGCTTTGATTATTCGTAATTTTTTATAATTTCAACTTCGTACCTGTTCAGTAATGCTCATTTCTTCGACAAATGCGCCATAACCCTTCATTGTCCATTGTGCAATTTCTACTCTGGTTACTCCACTAATTTGACTGAGCCCCCATTTTTCGCTTAATCCTTTTTCCGGAAGTGGACCACCATGTACGATTAATTTTAATGCATCATCTCCCCATTGTCCTACTACCCAGATGCTGGATAACATTTTCGCTAGCTTCAAACATGATTCCGTATATACTAAAGGTGGAACTTGATTGTAAGCTGAATTAGACGTTTTCGCATATAAAGTGATCACATTCAAATATTTTTCAGTAATGTCAGCCCAAAGTGGCTTTGGCGCAACTGGTGATGATGGACTTGAAGGTGGATTCGTGTTTGGTGAAGGGGGTGCTTGAAGAACTTGTGGCTATATGTTTTTGTTATTTCATCGATATTAAATTCATAAACCATGAATCAATCAAATTTTGTAATAATCACTCACCCCAATATCCGCATGTAAATATGCTAGCAGGATTAGTGCTACACATAACCCTTCTATAGCAGCTGCTTGCCAAAGATAATCGGAATTATTTCTTGTGGTGTCAATTGCATTATAATAACTTTATATAACAATTACAATATTATGATATAAATAATTATCCAAATAAAAAACCAGAAAAGAAATAAAATATAAAAAAAATTACAATGTTACAGCATCTGGTAGCCTCCCAGACATCAAATATAAATCGGCAATCAATTTTTGAACTCGCCCGGGTGTTCTTTTTTTTAACTTTATATCAATTGGTACCATCGCTGCCTGACTAGCAAAATTTGCTAATGAGGCGGATGAAAAAGTACGTGAATGATAAAAATTGTCTTTTGTGCTAACCCCGGGCGTTGTGCCACCCATAGCCGCAGTAGTCATGGCAGTGGATGGCGGTGTTAATGGGACTTGAGGCGGTGCTTTAAGTTCGGGGACTGGATAGGATGTATTGATGGGTAAGGTATGTCGAGTTTGTGGTGTAGGGAGATTGTGTGGACTTAACATTGAAGTTGATGAAATTTTAGGTGAATCGATTATGGATTTTTTCTCAATTGCTGCTGCCTAATTAATAAAAAAGATTTATTGTACTTCGACCGGTAATTATATATCCTTCATAACAAAAAGGAATAAAATTTGAATTTCCTACCACATTGCCAAATTCTGTTAATATATCGCTAGCAAAATCACAAATCATTGTACTCATATAAAATCCCATGTTTCCAACATTCGGTATCATTATCAGACCTTTCGTATCGTCTGGTTGAGTCTCCGCAGGATTAAATGCAAAACAACGATGGGCTATGACGGTTGGATACTTAAAGGCAAAATAATGAGTGACGACGAAAATGAATAATTTTTTTTAATTAGATTCTTCAAAATATAGAAAATAATATTCATAGCCAAATAGTCTATTTCTTGTACCCACAGTTTTGAGTATTTCGCTAAATTTACGGTGACCGTCCGGTAGATTTGACCATTCTTGGCAATCCATAATACCGATTACCTAGTTATTCGTATGATTTGATTATATATTCATTAAAACGATAACACACCAATGGGTAATTCAACTATGAGCGTTTAATTTAAGATTTACCCCTAATATTTTGCGATGCATTTGAAACTCTTCCAGATATGCGTGCTCAGATTCGTAATGAGTGACAAAGTTAAAATGGAGTTGTCCTTCATGAAAGGCCTGTGCACTAAACATTGCTTTTTTCAAAGGGCACCGTTAAATAAAGATCGAAGAATTAAAATACAAATTTTCATAGATGCTATAGTCTGTTTTCAATCTCTAAACCATATAATGATAAACTGAAAAAATTCTTGTGGAAGATCAAAACGAAAAATCAATGTCCCTTGATTTTTAGTTTTGCTAATCAAAAACTAGAAATTTCTTTTCACATCTACGAAACCACTTTCTTCCAATACCAACTTTTTTGAACGCCTCGCATATCGGGAGTTACATCCCCTAATTTAACCACACCAAACTTTTTGACCAATTCAACATGCTTTTGAAAAACTGAAGCTTTAATTGGGTGAACTGGTACTAAAAGAACTCGAATGCGTCCCGGAGCACTAAACAAAAGAGGGTCCATCGCGAAGAGCAATTTCTACAAGTCTAAAAACCTTGGCAATTATTTGAATTTTTTACAAAATAAAATGTCGGGTCATGTGATTCCGATAATCCGATATTGGAAAACCAAGTTCGGATCATGTAATTCCTTCTTTCGCCGACATACGGCGTCAAATCACGTGATATACAACAGATTTCATTCCCGAGAAAAGTGAGAATTTATCAGCTAATATTTGTTTTAGTTATTATATTTTATTAGACAATTATATTTATTATATATTTTATATCTTATTAATTATTATATTTATTATATATATATCATATAATTAAATATATATTTATTTTTTTAAAATATATCTATATTTTAATTTATATATTTATTTCTTTGTCTGAATTCTGATTAAAGTCAATTGGCTTGCGTTCTCGTTCAGAAGTTAAACGAACTGAACTAAGATTTTGAATTTGCTTAACTAAACCAGTAAATTGTTTTATTTATATATATTTATATATGAATCAGTACAAAAAGATTTGTATCTCAATATAAAAATTAATAATTATTTCTAATGAAAATCATTCAAATTTTAACTAATCTTTATAATTTTTTTATATTAAATAAAAAATAATCTAAATTAACTTTTTATACTATTTT